GGGGGTTGAACTTGTATCTAAGCAACGGAGCGCGGATCTTCAGTGTTACTCTGCAGGGTGATTAAAGCTTTTGAACTGATTGATTGACTGCTCTGGGGCCAATTTGCATTGCTTGTAGCGGAATTACGCCTGGCTTGAAACTACGAGCTTGGCATACAATCAGCAACCAGAAGACCCACTGTGAGTTTCGTTTATTGCTTTTTTGAAAATAAACTATCGAATCCCGTTGACTGTAGAGTGTAATAAGCTGTCTGAGTTTTTGCAATCTTTGATACTCTACCAGGCATATGTGCTGAGTATTGGCGCACGTATATATGAATTTCGGCGATACATGGCGCAGCGGGCAATCATTCCTTCTTCGGCTTTTTGATCGCCACGACCTCCGGTTCGTCTGTGTAGGAAGAAAGCATCGTATTCGGGTCAGTACACCGAATACGAAGCTTTTAAGTATACACAGACATTCAGATAATAATGCACTTAATGATGTATTGTCAAAGCCGTCGATCACAATATCACGAATTGCAAAAAAAAAAAAGGCTTGATGGCAGTAAGGTGTTCAAATGGATTTGAATATGAAGACAGATACCTTTCAATTGGCGCTTCTTGGCTGGTGATTTTGTGAAGTAGTTAGCTATTGAGTTGACTTTCTTCTTTTTTTCCGGTTTAACTTCCTCGACCAAGTGCGGGCCTTCGCTCTTTATATTCCCAATTTCTTTCGATATAGCTCGCCTGTACGAAGTATTTAAGGGTACAACACATTAGGAACTCGTATCACCACCTAGCAAGCACAGGTATACAAGAGCAAATTCGGACGTAGTTGTAGGACACTGTATGCACAGTAGGATTGTGTATTGGAGATAAGTTAGATGACAGCACCGAACTAATTAGCTGTATATATGCCATAAGTGGGGTGACATTAGGCAAACAATCGTGCATAAACATTTTACCTTACTTTGCATCTAATTAATGAGATCCTCTGAATATAAAATACAAATGATTGGGTATGTTCATCATTCAATGCGTATGGAGAATAAAGGGCTATTGTAGAGGCATCTCTCGGGATGTAGACTGATACGATAGTTGAACACTCCTGAATATCCTAATCACCGTCTCAAAAGAAAACCTAACCACGTCATCACTAAACTGCAATTCAGTTAGAATACATCACATGATATATTATAACCAAGCCTAACATACTCCAAGCACGAAGATCACGAGTTTTGCAGAAATGACATACTCTTTGTGGAAAAGTTTATATATCAAACACTGCATAAAATGATCACATCACTGTATGTGCCCTGCCAACCACACAGCGAGGACTGAGATATACGCATCGCCTGTCACACAGTACCAATCACTTTACCTACCACTCTAGCTTTGATGGATATGGTTTAGCCAACTCTCTCACTTCGTTATATGGAAGATCAGGGTCAAGCCACCTCTGTGGAGAGCAAAGGATAAATGTCAAGCTTAAGTCTTGAAATAATTCTACATACATTTGTTTTGAAAAAGGGACTTATATTCCATCTATAGAGCAATATATCGCCTATCACTTAGAATGGCTCTCAGACACCAGATGAGTACACGCTAATAAATACACACTCAAATCCGTATAGGATCCGGCACGACAAATTCTAGACAATTTGTAAGAGCAAGAGTGGATTAGCTTGTGTGAGCGAATACACCAAATTACACGTATGAAATCAGTCACACGCAAACCCGTAGACGCACAAGCGCGCTTTTGCACACACCTCTATATCCTCCTCATTGTCCAGAAGCACAGGTGTTCGATCGTGCAACCATTTCATACTATCGTTAGGTGTCGTAGTGAGCACTGTGTAACTCTCCACCTGTTCTTTCGTTTTAGGGTCTGTCCAGATCGTATAGAGACCTATATATGTTGTACACAAATAGCCATAACATTGACAGCTTTGAATGCAAGTTTTCCGGTATTGTTAGGCGTAGTAGTGAATACTGTGCATCAGCTCGAATGTCCTTTCGTATCAGCGTTTATGTAAATCGTACACAGACTTGTAACATTCACACATGAATTAGCGCAACATGCTAAGTTCTGAGCATAGGTTTGCCTATGTGCTCCTGCGGCAGCTCATATGCACATGTACTTATAGATAAGTGACCACAGTTCCTATTGTATAGAGATATTCCTCATATTGCACATCATGTGCATAACCTGTACTGATCAAAGTAAATTCAACGGTACAAACACAACCCTCTAATCTCACACGCACCTCACGTCACGCCACTTCAACGGGTAAGCACACACCAGCCATGCGCAGACACTTCGCTCCTGGAATAAACACCAGGTACGGCTGCTTCGTCTTGCCAGCTGAGTCTATCTTGTACCATTCGATGTACCTGTACAATGGCAGACACCATCAAGGAATTAGAGGTCCCCATGTTCTGGTGATTCTAACAGAACCACACAGGTGCAGGAGCTACTCGTGCTACAGTGCTGTTTTGCATCAAGCCTCGGGGACGCATTTAACACTTCGCTGACTATCACCAATCATTGAAAAAGGCCCATACACATCATTTTTATTGAAAACTCACGTGACATGGTTGAGCATATCCCTCGCATAGCACCACACAAGCAATGGCTATCATTGTATTGTGTAGCTCTCTCTCTTACATGACCGCACATGATCAAACCTTATCTTATCGGATGTGAGGACCCCTTATCTTATCGGACATGAGGACCCCTTATCTTATCGGACATGAGGACCCCTTATCCTATCGGACATGAGGACCCCTTATCTTATCCGATACGAGGACCCCTATCTTATCAGATATGAGGACCTCTTATTTTATCGGATACGAGGACCCCCTATATTGTCGGATATGAGGACCCCTTATCTTATCAGATATG